GTGAACCCATCTGGTCCTGGACTTTTTTGTTTGGTAGGCTATTAATTGCTGCCTCAACTTCAGACCTTGTTATTGGTCTATTCAGGGATTCAACTTCTTCCTGGCTTAGTCTTGGGAGGGTGTAAGTGTATAGGAATTTACCCATTTCTTCTAGACTTACTGGTTTATTTACATAGAGGGGTTTGTAGTAATCTCTGATGGTAGTTTGTATTGCTGTAGCATCACTGTTGATATCCCCTTTATCATTCTTTATTGCATCTATTTGAATCTTCCCTCTTTTATTTTTTATTAGTCTGGCTAGCAGTCTATCTATTTTGTTGATCTTTTCAAAAAACCAACTCCTGGATTTATTAATTTTTGAAGTTTTTTTTGTGTCTCTATCTCCTTCAGTTCTTCTTTGATCTTAGTTATTTCTTGCCTTCTGCTAGCTTTTGAATTTGTTCGATCTTGCTCCTCTAGATTTCTCAATTGTGACATTAGAGTGTCTATTTTATGTCTTTCCTCACATCTCTGGTGGGCATTTAGTGCTATAAATTTCCCTCTAGACACTGCTTTAAATGTGTTCCAGAGATTCTGGTACATTTTGTCTTCTTTCTCACTGGTTTTGAAGAAGATCTTTATTTCTGCCATCATTTCATTATTTATGCAGTAGTCATTCAGGAGCAGGTTGTTTAGTTTCCATGCAGTTTTGTGATTTTGAGTGCGTTTCTTAGTCCTAAATTCTAATTTGATTGCACTGAGAGACTGTTTGTTATAATTTCCATTCTTTTGCATTTTCTGAGGAGTGTTTTACTTCCAATTATGTGGTCAATTTTAAAATAAGTGCGATGTGGTGCTGAGAAGAATGTGTATTCTGTGGTTTCGGGGTGGAGAGTTCTGTAGATGTCAAGGCTGGTTCCACATCCACAAATCCATAAATGTAATCCATCACATAAACAGAATCAAAGACAAAAACCACATGATTATCTCAATAGATGCAGAGAAGGCATTTGACAAAATTCAACAGCACTTTATGCTAAAAACTCTCAATAAAGTAGGTATTGATGTATTGTATCTCAAAATAATAAGAGCTATTTATGACAAACCCACAGTCAATATCATACTGAATGGGCAAAAACTGGAAGCATTCCCTTTGAAAACTGGTACAAGACAAGGATGCCTGCACTCACAACTCCTGTTCAACATAGTATTGGAAGTTCTGGCTAGGGCCATCAAGCAAGAGAAAGAAATAAAGAGTATTCGAATAGAAAGAAAGGATGTCAAATTGTCCCTGTTTTCAGATGACTTGATTGTATATTTAGAAAACCCCATCATCTCAATCCAAAATCTCCTTAAGCTGATAAGCAATGTCAGCAGTTTCAGGATTAAAAAAATCAATGTGCAAAAATCGCAAGCATTCCTATACACCAATAGTAGACAAACAGAGAGCAAAATCATGAGTGAACTCCCATTCACAATTGCTACAAAGAGAATAAAATTCCTAGGTATACAACTAACAAGGGATGTAAAGGACCTCTTCAAGGAGAACTTCAAACCACTGCTCAAGGAAATAAGAGAGGACACAAACAGATGGAAAACATTCCATGCTCATGGTTAGGAAGAACCATCTTGTGAAAATGCCATACTGACCAAAGTAATTTATGGATTCAATGCTATCCCCATCAAGCTACCAATGACTTTCTTCACAGAATTGGAAAAAAAAATCTTAAACTTCATATGGAACCAAGAAAGAGCCCACATAGCCAAGACAATCCTAAGTAAAAAAAAAAAAAACAAAAAAAAAACAAAGCTACAGGCATCACATTACTTGACTTCAAACTATATTACAAGGCTACTGTACTCAAAACAGCATGGTACTGGTACCAAAATGGAGATATAGACCAATGGAACAGAACAGAGGCCTCAGCAGTAATGCCACACATCTACAACCATCTGATCTTTGACAAACCAGACAAATAAAAAAGCAATGGGGAAAGGATTCTCTATTTAATAAATGGTGTTTGGAAAACTGGCTAGCCATATGCAGAAAGTTGGAACTAGATCTCTTCCTTAAACCTTACACAAAAATTAACTCTAGATGGGTTAAAGATTTAAACATGAGGCCTAACACCATAAAAACTCTAGAAGAAAACCTAGGCAGTACCATTCAGGACATAGACATGGGCAAGGACTTCATGACTAAAACATCAAAAGCAATGACAACAAAAGCCAAAATAGACAAATGGGATCTAATCAAACTTAAGAGCTTCTGCACAGCAAAAGAAACTATCAACAGAGTGAGTTGGCAACCAACAGAATGGGAAAAAAATTTTTGCAATCTCCCTATCTGAAAAGGGCTAATATCAAGAATCTATGGAGAACTTAAACAATTTTACAAGAAAAAAACAATCCCATGAAAAAGTGCGCAAAGGATATGAACAGACACTTTTCAAAAGAAGACATTTATGCAGCCAACAAACATATGTAAAAATGCTCATCATCACTGGTCATTAGAGAGATGCAAATCAAAACTGCATTGAGATACCACCTCACGCCAGTTAGAATGGTGATCATTAAAAAATCAGGAGACAACAGATGTTGGGGTGGATGTGGAGAAATAGGAACGCTTTTACACTGTTGGTGGGAGTGTAAATTAATTCAACCATTGGGGAAAACAGTGTGGTGATTCCTTAAGGATCTAGAAACAGAAATATCATTTGATGCAGCAATCCCATTACTAGGTATATACCCAAAGGATTATAAATCATTCTATTATAAAGACACATGCACATGTATATTTATTGCAGCACTCTTCGCAATAGCAAAGACTTGGAACCAACCCAAATGTCCAACATTGATGGACTGGATAAAGCAAACGTGGCACATATACACCATGGAATACTATGCAGCCATAAAAAAGAATGCGTTTATGTCCTTTTCAGGGACATGCATTAAACTAGAAACCATCATTCTCAGCAAACTGATACAAGAACAGAAAACCAAACACTGCATGTTCTCACTCATAAATGGGTGTTGAACAATGAGAGCACAGGGACACGGGGAGGGAAACATCACACACTGGGGCCTGGCAGGTGGAAGGATAGAGGAGGAATAGCAGAGGGGCATTGGGGAGGGATAGCATTAGCAGAATTACCTAATGCAGATGATGGGGAAATGGATGCAGCAAACCACCCCCATGGCACATGTATACCTATGTAACAAACCTGCACGATTTGCACATGTTCCCTAGAACTTAAAGAATAATAAATAAATTTTAAAAAAGAAATAAATGATGGCTCTCTCCTTACTTTCTCAATCTGCTCATCAAACAAAGCATTTTAGGCCACACGTAAGAGTTTGAGGGAACTTGGACTCATTTACTTCTGTTATGTCTAGCCTCTACCACAACGCCTCACACATAGGAGGTACTCAATCATTATTTATTAAATGAATAAAATAACTTTGTTCCTTAAGATAAGTTTACCTGAAGTAAGATATTTATTTGGAAATTTCTATCATTGGTTCTGTAGTCCATGTTGACAATAAACCATAAATTAATCCAGAATGAGTGCAATTTTGAGTGACCCTAGAAATCAACCAGTATTCACCATGCCATTTTTTTTTCTGGGATATTCTGGCAGATGAAGTCTTTCATCTTCACTCAAGATTAATGTTATTCTAGGCCACGTCTGCTTAAACGTGGCCAGAATATAGGATACAGAATAAAATAATTTATCTTCCACTCTCTCTATATATTCTTATTCCCTTTCCTCTTCATTCCCATTCTTTTACAAAATATAATGATGTCAGCTATGTTGTGGGCCATGAGAACAGAGGTAAGTGCCTACCTTTCAGGATTTTTCAGTATTCAAATTATAATGGCAATTGACAGCTTACTGAAATGTTATAAATCCTCTGATTAAGAGGTTACAGTAGGTACAATGCTTTTTACAGAAAAGGATTGTTTTCATCTTGAAATTTGGAAAGTGGCATCATTATATCTTTGTAAAGTTTGTAACACTTTAAAAGAGTTTTAAAATATGAATAGTTATTTTTTAGATATTTCTCAAAGTTTATGATTGTGTCACCTTAGAAGATAAAAGAAAATCAGGTTTTAATCTGTAAATGAGAACTTTTCCAAAAAAATAACAAAATATGAAAACAAAAAATTGAAAAATATGAAATTGAAAACAAAATATGAAAACAGAAATTGAAGGCAAAATATGTTTAAGGTTATCCCCTTTAGAAGAATAGTACATGCCATGCTAAGCTATCTGCTGCAGATGTTTACCAGGTAGACTGTGAAGTAGAGGATATTCCCAAGCACAGAGGAGGCAACCAGCGTGATGTCCTTGGTGAGCACAAGTTGTCCACTATGAAGCACAGGATGGAGGTAGAGGTGATGCTAGAGACATATCTCTCATTTGTTTTTTGTTTTTTTGTTTTTTTTTTTGAGACGGAGTTTCACTCTTGTTACCCACGCTGGAGTGCAATGGCGCGATCTCGGCTCACCGCAACCTCCGCCCCTGGGTTCAGGCAATTCTCCTGCCTCAGCCTCCTGAGTAGTTGGGATTACAGGCACGCACCACCATGCCCAGCTAATTTTTTGTCTTTTTAATAGAGATGGGGTTTCACCATGTTGACCAGGATGGTCTCGATCTCTTGACCTCATGATCCACCCACCTCGGCCTCCCAAAGTGCTGGGTTTACAGGCTTGAGCCATCACGCCCGGCCCTCTCATTTGTTAATATGGAAAATGCATGGCTTTCTTCTCTCAAATGTCTTTACTGCCTATCTTATCTGAGGTTTGCCTTCTGGAAGTTCTTGACAATATTTCATAGCCATTTTCTAAGGTATGGCTATATAAAAATATAAGGATGGCAGAAAGGAGAGAATACAATCACAAAATGATAAAATAAAAATTATGGGAATATATTTATTAGCTCTAAGTGCTATTCTCTAAATATTAAAATTTCGAATGGGGCTTCAGTTCATATGTTTTTTTTCCTTTCTCCCAGCAGATGTTCAAAGAAAATTTCTACTTGCAAAAAGCTGTGGGAAATTTCCAACCAAAAGGAGGCTGCAGCGATAAATCTGCGACAGGTTTTTTGTTTATTCAGATAAGTACAATTTACATGCTTAGATGCTTATTTTTATTGCAAAAGCCTTTGGAGAAGATATTTGATCCACTATTTAAGGTCTCTAATATCACAAAAACCTTTTAAATTGACCTGTATCTAAACCTGTCTGTCATCTCAACTTAGCCTGTTCTATTAACATCACATTTTCTAAATCCATTCCCTGGAGTTTAGAAATGGAATAGTGTTCAAGCAATATGATGAAATGGGAAAACAAAGAGCCTTCTGGACTGGATTTCCCAAGTTTTTTTTTTTTTTTTCTCAATGTGGTATCTTTTTCACATTTGTAGATCCAGTAACACAATGACGTGATCGTAGTTCATTGGTCATAAAGACTAACTTGTGTTAACCAAATTTAAGTAAACTGATTTTTATTTCTTCAGTTCACAGTAGGGGATTTTCATTTCCTGCCATTAAGATATTCTTCTTCTACCCAAGTAAATTCCTACCCAGTTATAGTGTCTGAGGTTGTTGAATTGGCTACTAGGATGTTCGTTGATAGGCACAGAATGAGAGTAAGAGAAATAGAACGTTCTGAGGTAGGTTTTACTGACCCCTGGTTAGGCTCTTCAAATCTTCCCTGCTTCACAACTGGTTCCACCTCTCTAGTGAGTAAGAAATGTGTTTGTAAGATTTCATGTCTGTTTTCTTTAGCAAGTGCTGAAGAACTACTGCCAAACGCATTCTCTGCTTTCCATTTTTCTATGACTCATAAAGATTATTTCCACTTTTCTTAACACATTTCTTCTTTATGAAGATTTCTGTCACCCAGACTTGGAAGTCACATGTTGTCACTTCCACAGTGCTCAATGAGTGGAGGCAGTTACAAAGGCCTACCTATGTTCACTAGAAGGGGACATAGCTACCACCACTCAATCACAGGAGACTCAGGATCACATTGTAAGACCACAGAATGAGAGATGCTGATGATAGGCATCTTTGCCAATACAGTTTGCCACAATCCAGGCTCTGGTCACAGCAGTTCACATTGCTCTTATAGGTAAAATGCATCCATCCCTGCCCCAAGACTTCCAAAGTGTAATTAATTACAGCATCTGCCCAAAGGCCAGTATTTTGTTCTTTTTTTTTTTTTTGAGATGGAGTTTCGCTCTTGTTATCCAGGCTGGAGTGCAATGGCGCGATCTCGGCTCACCGCAACCTCTGCCTCCTGGGTTCAGGCAATTCTCTTCCCTCAGCCTCCTGAGAAGCTGGGATTACAGGCACGCGCCACCATGCCCGGCTAATTTTTTGTATTTTTAGTAGAGACGGGGTTTCACCATGTTGACCAGGATGGTCTCGATCTCTTGACCTTGTGATCCACCCGCGTTGGCCTCCCAAAGTGCTGGGATTACAGACGTGAGCCACCGCACCCGGCCGTATTTCGTTCTTTAGGTCAGGTCTACATTCCTCAGATGCAGTTCCTCAAATACAGTTTCTTCAGTACTTGAAAGAATTCAGTTCCTTTCCATCTAAACACTTTTGAACTAAAAGAGAAAAATGATCTGTTTCCTACCTTTCTCCTCACTGCCCCAACATAAAATTCTGAGACAGGAATAAGATAACTACTCAAAGCAGAGGAATATGATAGATAGTATTCATTGGTTCATAGACGCTCCCATATGCAGTGGGACATATTTGATCAGTCCTATTCCATGGGAGTTGTTCTTAATATTTCTTGTTTGTATCTTCTGAGTTTCTCATTTTCCATAAGAACAGGTCTTTGCTTTCATTTGAGGAGCCTTCTCAGCCTGCTTTCTGCCTGTAGAATGTTGTGGGTAAAAGGTTTCTTTTCGTCTTGTACTGTTTCTGCTCTTTTCCATGTATGATGCCAATACTTGCACCAAAACAACTTTTATTAAATATTGTGACTTTTCTATGAATTTTATTAGAATTCATCCCAATAAACAAAAGCCACAAGTAGAAGTATCTTGAACTGGCCCTTATCTATCTTGGGGTCACTAAAGACAACTACATGCCACAACACTTATATTCTTACAAGCTTCACAATTTGGGCAGAAAATCTGCAAGACATTCTCTTAAGTACCTGAAAGTGCTTTTTGTTTGTCTGAAAGCATTTATGAGGCACTATATTAGAACTTTCTAAAGTCTTAACAAAAGAGCTTATGGTCCCATTCAGAGTTTGATCTTTGGTGTGGTTCTTTCTTAATTTGAGAATCATCTCCAACTTGGAAACACTGAGGAATGAATAATAGTCTTATTTTCAAGTCCAGCAAGTCCTTATTCCTTGATATTTAACAGCTTTTTTTCCCTCAACTTATTCCTTTCATATTTTATCAAAGGCTTGGAAAGAAAGCCAGGTGACCATTGTAATATTATGCTGGAAATCTCCTTAGCTATGTCATTATGTTCATGAAACACTTGAGGTAGATTTTCTGGGTTTCTTTTTTTTTCCACATTATGGAGGGCAATGGTGTTGATTAACTCTCTGTCACTACATAACAAGGGGCATATTCTTGTATTTGTGTATTTGCAATAGTTTTCTTTTAAGCCTTCACTTAACAAGCCCTTGGGCTTGAGACCTTTTAATTGTATCTGTTAAAACTCTCCTCAAATCAATTTCAGACATCACTAACGGTCTTCTCAAGTTCCCTCCAGTTTCTCGTTCACCACTGCACCCTCAAACCAACACTAGGTGCTTTAGGTATTTGTCATGACAGCATCCATTTACAGATTTCAGGTTACATATTAGCTACTCATTGTTACATAACAAATCACTCCAAATCATAAAAGCTTAAAACAATAATAATCATTTATTTAGTTAACAATTCTGTAATTTGGGCAGATAGGACTTTTTTTACTCCAAGCAGTGTCAAACGAGACAGCCATTTCCATGAGCGTTTTCTCACTGGAGGCTACCGCCTACAAGTTCAACAAGGGTTGTGGGTCAGGGACCTTAGTTGCTCTTCACATAGGTCTTGCCATGTGGTGCTGGAACTTCCTCCCAGCTGGGTTCCAAGACTGAGAATTCCAAGAAAGCAAAGTGGAAGTGTGTGGCATTTTTGTAATCCTGACTCAGAAGATGCATAACATCATTTCAGCTGAAATCTATGGATTGAGAAGTTTCAGGGTCATGTTGTTTGAAGAATATGTGGAATGGGAGAGACTGGGAACTGCCATGTTTGGAAAAAAACAGCCTGTTACAATGAGTACTGTGGAGAAAGATCCTGCATATGGGCCGTTCCTGAACTACCTGTTCATACCCATTGCCCACTGTAAAACCTTCATTTCTGGCTTTTTATTGATTTGTATATGTGATTTGTATATTGAGAATATTAACCTGTTTTCTATCATATCTGTCACCGATATATATTTTTTTCCTGAGAACACTTCTTTAGATGTGGATTTCAGGGGCTTCCTAACAGGGCTACACTGGGATAGGCATCCCCAGAACACATGCTTGAACTGTGCTGTGGCTAAGATTTATAGGAATATTCAATTCCATTGGGCTTTTATTACACATATGAAAACAAATAACATATAAGTTAAAATAAGCACGTTATACTTGCTTTGGGGTAGGGAATAATATCATTCTGGGAGGATATTAAATGGAGGTATTTCTAAGAGTGAGTAATAAAATACACTTCTTATGTGCAAAAATTAGATGGTGCCTGGAACCTAGTAAGGGCTTGTTTAATGGCCAGCTTCCTTCCAAGTTCTTTCATCAGCGTTGATCTTAGCTTGGGTTCTCCCCAAACTAATCTCCCAAAAGCATGCACCGGGAGAAGGAGGTGGATATTAGGAGTTTGTGTCTGAAGGTATCCCAGCAAGCAGAGTGAGGTAGTGGGAGCAGGAGACAGGGAAGAGAGGATGATGTTAAACTGGGCTACCCATGTGGACAAGAGGGACTGAGTCCACCTGGGCTCTTTATAAGGTTGTTTAAAAAAACAAACTCAGAATAATTGCGTTAAGTGATGAGAAAGCTGGAGTACCAGACCATCCGATGTAGCCCCTCACTGGTTGTGTTACTCCTGGGATCATTAACCTATGGACACGTCTACCCTTCCATAAATGCAAGTGCTTGAAATAAGAAGCCATGGGCATGGACAGGAACTGCTTATAAAGCCACAGGTGCCCTCTGGCAGACACAGGTTTATGGGCAGGGCTCTGGCAGCATTACTGCAGTGACATATTGGATAAAGTGAAAAAGTAAATAATATCTATGAAGATAAAATAACAGAAATTGAGTAAGGAGAAAAGGAAATTCATTTGCAGAGGAAAGATCAACTCCTATGACTTCTAAGAATTAAATAAAATCAACTACTTTTACCATAACTTTAGGGGTCAAACAAAATAAAAGATCTTCAAAAAGGTTTTCTATTTAATTATCTGAGATGACTGTGTGAATGGGTACATTTCTAAGTCAAAAGTAATGACTTTAGCTGAGTTATCTGCTTAAAAACTGTCTTTTTGAATGAAATAGGAAAGGTATTAGAAAAAGAGAATGTAGACTTACTGCAGAGAGATATGACTGACAAAATGAAAGCACAAAATGAAAAAAATCCATTCTTCCCTCTCTTCTTTCTGTTTGAGAATGTGCAAATGAAAGAGAATGTTGTTGAAAATGTCTACAATCTGAGGTAGATTTAACCTTCTATCACTTTACCTTGAATTTATAAAGGACCCTTTAAGAGGATGACATTCTTATGATTAATTTTTGCCTATCCTTTAGTATTTATTTGACTCTTAGAAACTGTATACTCTTTACATTAGCTGCAAGCTGCCACAGTCTGATCATCATTCAGTGAAGATCTCCCTGTAAATGATACTAGAATTAACTTCACAAACGTACATAGTAAAATTAAATGTCAACTTTTATTCCATACTTTTCTTCCATCTGCCAGAGTGATTTGAAATGCCAGCTTTAAAAAGTGCAGAGCAACCAGCCGGCCTTTCAGCGGGGCTTCACATGGCTGCCTATGGCGTGTGGTGTTTGGGTGTTCTTCTGCACACAGGCTTACAGCACTGCTGGGCTCTAGCCTGGCGGTGGCACTGGGCTGCACATGGCAGTAATCCCTCGTCCATCTGTGCCCTTTCTCTGCCTGGAATAAGATGTTATGGTTCAACAGCTCCGTTTTGTCCGTCTTTTTCAGATGATTTCTTGAATTTTGCATCTTGGCTGTTAAATTGGCAAAAGATCTGCTTTCCTCTTTCAAGAGAATGCTGTATCTTCACTTTCCTTCTAGACTGCTATATTTGTTGGTTATGAGCCAGAATTATGCAATGTTATGTTTTGGGATTTGGTGGTAATTATCTGATGAAGTATGAAAGCCTGTGAGCTAGATTGTGGGAGGAAAAAAGAGTTTAATTTTTGAATTTCTCTGTGTAAATCACATAGCCTAACCTGGGATATTAGGAACCTACCTGGAAAAAAAATCACACACTTCCATGAGATTCTGCTATAGCACTGTGCACATCCCCTTCACAGTGCTAATCGATACTTGCTTAGTATGTATTTTCCCCACTTGTTTTTCTCTTATAGTCCCATTAGAAAGCAAGTTCTAAGAAGACAGGGACTGAATTTCTTCTATGCAGATATACCAGCAGATATACCAAGTTCTAAGAAGATAGGGACTGAATTTCTTCTATGCAGATATAGCCAGCATACCTGGTACATAGTAGGTGTTCAATAAGCACATCTCATCTTAAATAATTGAGTGAAGGTCATCTTGCTGCCTGTTGATCTCATCCACCTTAAAGTGTGTTGTGCTAATAGTTACTAAAATAAGCAAGAACTATGCCTACCTTTGTAAAAATATATCACTTGGAAGGGTCACTGCAAATTTGCCTCAGAATGGTTTTTTTTAATCACTGTAGCATATAAGGAGTTTAAAAACGTAACAAATTAGAAATAAGAAACTATCTCATTTCTAGCTAAAATACACGTATTCTTCTAGCAGATTGTACCCACATTAATCTGAGTTTGAGGCTGGGAGGTACATGGTCACATTGCTTAAGGCCCAAGGTTCACAGTGTGAAATCCAAACTAATAGGTAAAGAGCCCCAGAAGGTAGTGATGTAGATATGAAAGCAGAAGTGTTGAAAGAGAAAAAATGCTAGCTAGAAAAGCCAGCGTCGAGAGCTGTGGGCACCGGTGAAGGGATCATGGGAAGGTTATTTGGGAAGCTAAGGAAATTTGCCAGTTCACCAAAGGTGCTGGTAAGGCAAGGTGAGGGTCAAGCTGCTTGGTCACAAGAGGTGACTAATGGGTATATCCTTGCTGCCATTTGAGGCAATAACACAGACCTTCCCAAGCAGCCTTCCTGGGGTCATTTCGCTTCTAAAAACTACCATTTCTTCCAGGCTATCTGTTGACGTCCCAGCCCAGTCACCTATGAAACACTCCAATGCCTTGTTCTCACAGTGACCAAATACCAATAGTGCTCTTTTTGTTTTTAAGACCCCAAACCATCTTTGTATAGTTCTGCTTGTTCAAATGTTTTATCTTTTGCTTTTAATTCTAATCCTTAGGAACTGATAGATCATATCTTGTTACTCTTATATATGACAAGCTTCTTAAAATACTTGAAGACAGTCATTATTCCTTGTACTGGTCTGGGTAATTATTGACTGTATCAGACAAACCCTGAAATCTCAGGGTCTTAGAACAACAAAGACTTATCTCTTTCTCATGTGTTTTAGGATGCCTTTCTGAATTTTGTACTCTGCTTTCTGGAACATGTGGCCTTCAGCATTACTTTTCCAGAGGAAACGAGAGATGTAAGCAGCAGAGTAACTGTTAATTGCCATGTTCTTGAAGTGATGTATCTCTTTGCCCACTGGCCAGAACTAGTTATGTGGCTGTAACTTAACTGGAAGGGACCCTGGAAAAGTTAGGAGAGCACTTGGATATTTAAACAACTAAATGTGTTGCCTGCTATATGATACTCCCAGAAGTTTTTTTTTTAAATTTTTTCAACTGGAAAAATTCTTAGATTTCTCAGAAACTTTGATCAAATATTTTATTTTCTCTTTCAATTATTTCTTATAGGACAGAATCTCAAGTACCCTCATTCCCCAAAACCTACATTTTATACCTCACTTTATTTCTATTTGCAGTTCAAGATTTATTATAAATACTTTAATGCTACTTTAAAATCTTACATCTTCTATATAGTTTATTAACTGTACTTCAGTACAGTTTTTACTGTTCAACATTGTATCCAAGCACGTTGCCTCACATAGCTTAAAGACTACTGGGACAAGTAAACGGGAGATTCAAGTAGGACGTAAAAAGTATGTTGATGATGCAAGTACAGAGGTTGTAGCCACACGCACACAAAATACCTAACCTCAATCCTGCCCGAATGAAGAGATCTGAACTGAAATCTAAGAAATTAATTGGAATCAGCCAGGTGGGAGGAAAACTAAGGCTGCATGTATCAAGGCAAAGGGAAGGGCATGCATGAAATTCCAGGCCCAAGTGCACAGTGAACGTGATGCATTCAGAGAACTACTAGAACTTCTTTCTACTGGAGGATATAATGCGAAGGGGGATTGGGCAGGCATGAGCTCAGATTTAAGTACTGGCCCCATCATTCAGAAGCCTGGAAAATATACTTATGGTTTTTACTTTATTATAAGAGCAATGGGATTTATTGAAGGTATCAGGGAGACGGTATTAGGTAGCAGGGAGAAGGGAGGGTCACACATATTTTAGAAAGATTATTTTGGCTTCAATGATCAGATCAGATTCAGACTAGAATGGGCTAAATTTAAAGGTAGAAAGACCAGTTAGGTGACCCTCATAATAGTCTCAATGGGAATGTACAGTATTCTGTAAGAGGATAAAGGAAAAAAAGATACTGACGAGTTTAGACACCAGGTTTTCAAGATATCTCCAACCTGCTCCATCCAGAACCGAAATCCATTTGGGTTTCTGACTCAGAAGAACCACATCTAATTAGGTGTTTCTTACACACTGTAAATAGTCATACTTTTAGTTGGAGTTTAAAGAGGACACCTGGATAGATGTGTATTTATCCCTCTCTCTTTAAAATTTGAGCTTATTTGGGGATCACATTTTATACCTCACTTTATTTCTATTTGCAGTTCTAGGTTTATTATAAATGCCTTAATGCTAATTTAAAACCCAAATATAGCATAACATATAAAATAAAACCAACTTGAAATAATTATTTTATAATGCACTTGTATGTCTGAATGTTATAATATATTTTATAAAGCACATGTACAATGATGTAATCTATGGTATTATAATGTACATGTACATGTGGTTATAATAATAATGTCTCTGTCAAGTAATCAGAGATTATCTAATAATTATTTATTTATTCCATAA